AGGCCCCAGGCAAACGGACAAGTTGAGGCCTTCAATAAGATTATCTCAGACGGCATTAAGAAAAAAGTTGAAAGGGCTAGTGGTCTATGGGCAGAAGAGTTGCCTCATGTTCTTTGGGCTATCAGAACAACTGAGAAAGGGGCAACCAGTGAAACCCCGTTCCTAATGACATACGGCACCGAGGCTGTTCTCCCTATCGAGCACTATGAGCCAACTCTTCGCATCATGCTGTATGATGAGGAGGCCAATTGGGAGGCCATGCGTCTTGCCTTGGATTCTCTTCCAGAGCGAAGGGGCAATGCCGCCTTACGACATGAGGTCTACCGTCTGAGAATGACTAGAGCCTACAACAAACGGGTACACAAGCGGCCCTTGAAAGTAGGGGACTTTGTACTCCGCAAAATGGAGGCAACCGGTAGGGCAAACGAGCAAGGCAAGCTAACCCCAAACTGGGAGGGCCCCTACCGGATTTTTGAAGAGGTTAGAGATGGCACATACAGCCTGGAAACCCCAGACGGTAGGAGGTTGCCTAGAACTTGGAATGTAGACAACTTTAAAAAGTACTACTTCTGAGAATTGTAAATCTTTTGTAATTACCGTATGATTAATGGGAAAAGCTTGGTTTATTACATTTCTGTATACCTACGCCATATCTTGTGCTTAACACAAGCGTCTTTCATCATTTAATTTCCATGCGCCATGTCTTGTGCATCACACAAGCGGCACATTTATCACTAAAAAACATCTGGTGACGCCCATACGGGTGAATTCACTGAAGAGAACATCTCCCTTCCGGGTGGTAAATTGTCTAGTGGTCATAACTCAGGCGGATATAATGAATGAAAATTAAGTTAGTTATTTCCGCCAAAATGATCCATTGCATCAAAGAATAACTGACTAGCACTCCCAAAAGTACTGCCGGTTTATTCTTTGAAAAGCAGTACCAACAGAAGCTAGCCCCAAAAAAGGCAGCCGGTACTCCCACTACATCTAGACCACAGGGTAAATATGCTTATACTAACCAAATTTTACGCAAAAGCACCCCACACACGGTTCGCTATCAATGTTAGCAAGGCCCTAAGCTTTGGGCTCCTAATGAACAAACGCAGCCGGCAACCAGGCAAAACAAAATATAAACGCTACTTAAAAACCGTGCTTTAACCGGGGCTGTACGTGTTTAAATATTAATGGTCCCTGACCGGGGGCATACGGATAGCCGCCTGGCTGAGTGCAGCTCTACCAGTCACCTATCAGGGGGCAATATTCCTAACCCCACCCCGTCTCAGGTTCACACGGCAATAGTACTTAAAGAAATTTAAAAGAAACTTGGCATAGAGCAGAATTTAAAGAAGTGCAAATAAGGAGAAATCATTCAACAAAACCGGCACAGCCGGTGAGAAAATATATATACTAATATTCAAAATAAAATACAATGGCAGAATAAGCTGACTCATCCGGCGCGATTACAAGATAATGCACGATGCGCAGGCCGGGAGGTCGTTGCTACTCTATCTGCATGGTCACCCGGTCATTCGGAGCCTGAGTCTCTTCCGGGTGTGGCGGGTCAACGGTGGGGACAGAGTCAGGAGCAACTTCATCTTGAATAGCCTCCTCGTTAGCAGCCGCCTCCAATTCCATCCTTTTGAATTCCGCCTCAACCCACTTCTCATAGGGTTCAGGCCCCGAATGACCCTCCTCCTCAGCCAGAATGGCAAGATCTGCATATTTGTAGGCGAGCTCCCAGACGTTGTAGTCTGTACTCGGATGGATAAGGGAGAACACCCTCTTCATTCTGTTCTCGCAGTCTTGCTCATTCTCCTCAATGAGCCGGCTCTGTTCTTCTTCAAGGGTGGCCTTGAAGTTATCCTTTGCAGCAGCCGCATCTTTTTTCAGGCGGTCATTCTCTTTTCGCAGGTTGTCGCTGGCCTTCTCCGCCAGATCCAACCGCTTAAGGGGCTCCTCATGATCCTTGAGCTCCTTCTCGGCATTGTCTAGCGCCGTCTGAAGATTGTCAAATTTGACCTTGGACTCATTGAGGGCCTTTTGGAGGGTTTTGACCTGGTCCGCCTGTCGCATGATTATAGATTTAGTTTCTAAGTCATGCACAATCATTGAATATTCAGCAACATTATGTGTGTCATCCGCAGACCGTTTGGCTCTCCTTACCTCTTCCTGTTTGCGTATGTAGGCCTTTTTGGGCCCTTCCACGCGCAGCAGTGCCTGCAACAATACAACCGGTGTCAGTAGAAAAAAACGGATGTGCAAACATCAAATAAAATGCCGGGTGGGCACTTCAAGCTTACATCAGCTAGCTCGACCATTACACGGTCGGCATTGAAGGTGTTGATCCCAGGGATCGCCTCCTTCTCGTCCCGGGGGACGGCTTTCAGCATGACCCAGGCATACTGAGCTGCATCCGGCCAGCGGGGGGAATTATCTACACCAGGAACAGCAGTGAGAAAGCTGCATATGCTGCGCCTATGGATTGCCGGCTGATTGGAGAATCTCCCGGCTGAGACTGAGAATAAGACTTAACCTGCATGGGCAGGTCAAGCAGCGTGAGGTTGAAAGGATTTGTACCTTGTTGTTGGAGACCTCTCTGGCCTCCGTCAGTTGATGGACCGGTTGTGGTCCTTGTTGGTGTGACCTCTTTTGAGGCCACAACTTCAGCAGTAGACCCGCTTGGGGTCTTTATTGATTTACCGCCGGTAGAGTGCCGGACGGTGGATGTGGTTTTCTGCACCTTAGATGCAGGTTCCACTACAGTCGGCCTCGGCCGAATATACTTCTGTAGGGAGCGGGGAGCTTTGCTCCAATCCTGAAACGAAGCAACAAAGGGTCAGACGGAAAAACGAGCAAAATACAGAAGTAAAGCAAATAAGTCAAAGATAAGTCAGACGGTCTAACCTTCTTAGCCGCCTGCGCAGCAAGCTTTTTCTCCAGATTCTCCATACGGATGTCTGAAGCCTTCTTGGCAGGCGTTTTTTCTGTTGTCAACATGTCCTTTGCTTCTTCTGCAAAACACAAATCAAATACGTTCGGTCAAGATCAGAACAATAACAGACAAGCATTGTAATCAAAGGAAAATTGTCAGCCGGCGTAAGTTAGCCAGCTGAGGCCCTTAACCTACGTTTTTCGAACATACTGCTAAGTCTACAGGTGGACAAAAAAGCTTCGTCCCTTAGAAAGTCATGTTTAGGCACCAAGTTTCTGGGCACCCTTATTATCTCTCCGGTTGAGAGGGTGGAAGGGACAAGCTCAAAAAAGCCGGAGTCCAGTATTGCTTCTTCATCCTCCTCCGGCACTGGGGGCATCCGGCATTTCTGCCCCAAAAGTTCAGGTTTTCGGTTGTATGTCCGGAACTCTCTATTCTCCTCTTCGGTTGGAGCCTTGACCAAATAGAAGCGGTTCTTCCAGTCCGACTACTTAGACGGTTTGTTGAGAGTCATGAGGTACTGGGGGTAAGTGGTCAGGGTATACCAGGCTCTCCATCCGCCTGGGCTGCTACTCAAGTAGTGCATATGGGAAAAAGCTTCCCAGCTGGGGTTCAGATCCTGCATTTCGCAGGCCGCAATGTACCCAAGAATATTCACCCAGGAGTTGGGGGTGAGTTGCCAGACGCCCAGGCCATACCCCCTGAGTATGGCCTTTATTGTGTCATGAAGAGGGAAGCGGAGCCTCGCCAAGAATGCCGCCTCGTAGCAGCCAAACCAGCCATTTACGTTGCGCTGGTCATCCTCCCAGGCAATTGTCCCCTTCTCAGGAGGGACCGCCAGTCTATATCCAGTCCCAAGGGGCCGTTTGAGGACAAAATCTGCCAAGTTATTCCGCATAATGGCCCTATCTTTGGCAGAGACGGTGATCATCAAGGGGTCACCCTTAGTTTGCCAGGAGGGTCTCTCCTCCTCCTCACTATTGACGGATGGTGTTAGATAGCTACTGCTGCTCTCCACAGGTCCGAGTGCAGAGCCGGAAGCAGAGGAGGAGGCCTCCTGGGATGAGTTTTTTCGCTCCCTCGCATCAGAAACAGAGGCGGCTTCCTCACCGCCTCCCTGATCAGAGCCTAGAATGCCATCACTAGGCGTACTAGGGGCACCTCCGGGAGATCCCATAGCCGCCTCAGTCGGGGCCCTCTCATCAGGCGGTAACTCGTCAGAGCCCCCGCCTCTGTAATTAGGGTCAACAGCCGTCTTCCTGGTTCTGGCCATTGTGTCCTGCATAGACACGAAGACGGTCGGATTGGGAGATAAACAAGGCAAATCTCGGAGTCTATAGGCGGTATTTCCAGTCCAATACTCAACCGTACTAACGGACCGGCTGGTCTCATTATTATGTTCCGGATGGGGGTATAAAGGGTCCATCTAACTATGGGACAAATGAATGGGGAAACAAACAAAAGACTCAAGCGTAAATACATGGAAGAGCTAGAAAGAATAGAGGCGGTACCTAAAAGAAAGAGGGAGAAAACCGCTTGGTCACTGGGAATTTCTTGGGATTGCTTGCGAAGACACAGGCGTCTCTTGAACCGCTAGTGTTGTTTAAAGTGCAGATGCAAATTCAGCTTGCTATCAAACCCCCCCCCCCCCCCCGACGGTTATAAACCGGATGCTCACACGGAAACTATCTCAGAAATGCTCTCAACACCGGCTGCTCTCGAAAATCGAAAATTCTCCAAATTTGTAAATAAGGGCTTGGGGAGGGGACTTGGCTATTTATAGACTCCTCTTCAGAAGGCGAAGAGTCCTGAATCTTCACCTTCTGCTTCTCCCGCCTTTTCACCCAAACAGCCAGAATCCAGGAGATTCAAAAAAAAAAAAAAAAAAAAAAGAGGGAGAGAGAGATCTTCACAGGTGCCACGTGGCACAGCCATGTCAGCACCTGTGAGGGGCAAATGTTTAGGGTAAAAATACCCTAGACACGTGGCCCAATGGGCTGGTGACACGTGGCGTCCCTACTACATTTTTTATCTAATGCAACGGTACAAAAATAGCTAATACAACGGCTAATTTCATACCGTTGTATTAGACTAGGCTAATCCGTTGTATTACACTAAAACAAGGCTAATACAACGGTTTATACTAACCGTTGTATTAGATAAACTAATCCATTGTATTAGATGAACTAATACAACGGATTATTCTTCTAACACAAAGGATAGTGTTCCCAAATCTTTTTTCTATTTTTCAGTTGGAGCTAATCCAATGGATCAGTTGAGCTAATCCAACGGATCAGCCCCAAAAAATAAAAAAAGATTAAGACCTAATACAACGGATGAGTAAAAAAAAAACAAAAGAAAAAAAACCGAGAAATGCTGAAATATTAAAGCCAAAAATGAAATTGAAACCCCATTTCCCAAACTTCTCAGCTCAGTCTTCCTTCGTTCTCCTCCCTCAACTCGCCGCTGCTCCTTCCTTCGTTCTCCTCCCTCGCCACCGCTGCGTCGTCTCCTACCTCGCCGTTTCGTTCTGCTGTGCTCGAATCTCTATCTAAGGTAGGTATACCTTGAATTTTCGTCTACCAATTATGGATTTGTTGATTTTGTTTTGTATTTAGTGTTAGATTAAACCTTGCATGTGGCTGATTGCTCGAATCTTTGGATTTCGATTTATTGATTTGTTCGAATGTTGCATGTGGCTGATTGCTTGCTTGAGGGTGGTTGTTGGGGGTGGTTTTTCGATTTATGAACCCTAATTTTTGTTGGGGGTTTATTTGGGAATACTTGATTTCCACTTAGGATTTGTCAGTGTTACTTCCCTCGCTTATATATATAGCGAAAACAAAGGTGCTGCCAATAAATTAAATTGCATAATCTATCTAGTATCTACACACTAGTAATATTGTAAAACTTATCTAATTTCAAGACAATGCAGGGCAATATCAAAACACATAAATAAATCTTACTGCAATCTAAAGACATAACACACAAGACGTACTACTACTGAAGTAAAAATTTCCCTTTGTGAATCATGGACTGATATAGGATCTGCATAAACCTTCTGTTAGCCGTTTCAGATTCTGAGGTGGTGGTGCTGCTAGTGCTTGGGGGATCCTTTGGGGCTAATTCTATGAACATTGCTCTATTTAATATATACTTTCAAATGTTGGAGCAGCGGCCAAATTTGCATATTATCTGGGAGACTGGTGTGGAGTCATTTGATGAGATGGAGAGTCTTGTTCGAAACCATTTCCGATTAGTTTTAGCACCGTGAGTTTTTGCTTCTAATTTCATCTTTAATTTCACTTTTATGCTGTGCCATTATTGTTTTGGGAGGTTATTGTGTTTAAGATTTGGTTGGATTTAATTTATTTTCACTGTTATTAGGAATGAGAATTTCACTTAGTTGTTACTTTCAAATGTTTTCAGTCCATTACTTATGGTTAATCATGGAAAATATTTATGCTATTTAACTTGTTTTGTTATAATTTCTACCAGAAGTCAAGTTTAACAAACAATTGAATGTTTTGGCATTATGATTAGTTTCATTCATTGTAATTGAATCTGCTAAAGGCTTCATTATTAGGCATGTGACTCTGCAAGTAGTTTAAGCTAGCTTTGATTTCTTTAGTAGCAGACCATGTGCCTTGTGCTCAATTCTATGTTTCAGCAAGTAATAATTAGGCGTTTACTATTGCTTCCCTTATTTTGATATACCTAGCATGCTTATTTACACGAAGTCAATATAAATCCATGGGCAGATTCAAGATCCCTAGTCAAGCAGCATTACCTTTTCACATGCAACTTCAAGGAGAATCTCTTGTCTAGTGTCTAATACAATAGGTTACATTTTCCAATTTTTGTTCTACTAATACAATGTAGAGCTTTCTGTCATTAGATGCTTAAAGAAATGTGTTTCGTGCAATAGGTTCTTTAATTTTAAGAAGAAAATATGATCAGATTTTATTTCTAGTGAGAATGTGATATCCTATACTTAACCATGCAGAACCTCTGTTTGCATCTTAAGGACTTATGTACTCACTGTGGAGCAAGATTATTGACATATTCCGTGTTCAATCAGCTAATTTTACTTATATTTTCTGCATTTTGATCCTTTTTTTTTATTTATCGTTTGACTTTTGCATTTCATTGTTGCTTGTTTATTGATCGGATTGGATTGTTGTTTATTTCTATCAATCGTTTTTTTTTGTTTAATGCTGTATTTTTTTGGACATGTATTTTGGCCTTCTACTTATGAAATCTGATACATCAATTTCTTGGTTACAAACTTCTTAGCCCCTGCACATATTCTTGTAAACAAACCACTATCTACGTTCCGGTTCATAACCTTCTTAGCCTCTTCACACGTATCCTCGAATCGAATCTCATACATTCCCACCACCAGTGGTACCAATGACTTCTGCCTAAGCAAAAGATATGTCATGTAATCTGAAACTTGCTTACAGAAATTAGGATAGTTTGTACCTCGAACACTGTCATCAGCAGTCCAGTAGCATATATCAGTGGCAATTACTACAAAACCCATTGTTTTTCGACGCAGTCAACAAAGCGTCAGTGGAAAATTGGATTCCCGTGTTTTTTCGACGCTTTTCAGCGTCCTCACTTATTGTTGACCCAAATAAGCGTCCTGAATATTAATCACGTGATAAGCACATGTAGCTTGCGAACTTGAACTAAATTGGGGGAAAAGCCGGAAAACATCAAAACCGTTCCTTTTACTCTCCAATAACTAAACCTTAGCCTTCACTAAAATTCTCTCATCAATTCATCGCTCTCCAAAATTGCAGACCCAGCAACAAACTAAACTGGAAGAAGCTCTTTGATTTCATCATATTTGGTATACATTCTAATTGTTTTTCGGTATTTTCTCCTTTCTCTTTAGATTTTAATTTCAAGGGTTTTTGTTTTTATGTTTATTTTGTTATTTTGATTTTTTCTGGTTTTTTGTTTTTTAATTCGGTGAATTGGGCTTTAAATTGTAGAAAATTCCTTATTTGGTTGTCAATTTCTAGTAATCTTGATGATAAATTTGATAATATATCATTCGTATTCCTCTGTCAAATCAATTGTTTCTCTAATTCCCTCTCTTTTGCATGATCTTTTAGATCTACCACAAATTGAGGAAACAAAATTGATGATTATTTCAATAATCTATCTTAATTTTTTCGACAGCCTAATTCAAGTATGTTTTTCTCTCCCTATAAAGTATCAATTTTAGGGGCTTTTTTCCCCATCTATTACATGTTTCGATTGGTAATTAAGTGTTTCTCTTTGTTTAATTTCGTTTTCAAATATGTATTTGCTGATATGTTTCAAATTTATATTCATTCTTTTCAAGAATTTAGGGGATTTCATGACAAGGTATATACATTCCTTTCTAGTTCATACGTTAATTAGTTTTCTGCATTTTTATTTTTGAAATAAATGAATATACTATGTATTGGTTTTTCTTTAAATAGGTCTATGATTTTCGTTTATATGAGTTTGCACTACTTGAAATTAATGGATCTTTGAACAAAAGATATTTCTTATCAAATTATTTGTGGGAATGTTTTTAAATTTCAGGATCATACTTACAGTAGTAAGATTTGCATAGTATCTCTTAGCTAATTTATCATAATTATCAACCTTTCGAATCTTATAATGAAAAGTCTAACCCAAAAATTCCCCACTTAACATGTATCGTTGTAAAAGACTGAACCCACTCTGTAAAAAATACTTTGGTTGTAACTGAACATATAATTTTAAATAGGTTTAGGAGGGCTATGAATGTATTGATGTTTAAATTTTTTCTTGCATTGTATGATGCAAAAAGCTTTACACCCTTGTAATTTGATTAATCATTTGTACAAAGAATGATTTTAGGATAAGAAAATGAATCAGGTTCTTTAAAGAGAAATGTACTTTCCTGTTTCATCTTCTTTTCCTTTATATTTTTCCTTCTGTTTTTTAAATCCATGATTCTTAGTTGTCAATATTTGTTTTTCATTATAGGGTCTTTGTATCGTATCAGCTTGCATTATAACCCAATGACCCCATCCTAATCACTAGATAACTATGTTGAACCTTGTTAAAATCTTTGGAGTATACGAAGGTTCTTCAACTCAAGATTACAAATTAGGTTGATTAAATTGTAGTACATAATTAGATACCTATTAATTATTTTTAGGATGCACAACTTTTACATATCCATATCCAGAGTGTTCTTGTTGTTGTATCTGACTTTGAGGCATGTATATATATATATATATATATATATATATATATATATATATATATATATATATATATATATATATATATACTTTTTTTTTTTTTTTTCCTTTTTTCCCTGGTGGTATTAGAGTAGTGTATAAATTATAAGAATATTGATTTTGTGTGTTGGGTTTGGGGGGAGGGGGTACAGTAGAGTTTTGGGTGAAGGTGCTGTATTGAGACTTAGCTTTGGGACTTTGGGAGTGGGTACATGGGGAAGTTTTAGTGAATTCGTTCAATTGTTAGATGGGTAAAAAGCTTAACAGTATGTGATACTAGTATCTACACTTACAAGTACTGAAATAATGAAGTTTAAAAGAAAGTGGTGAGGGATGAATTATAAAAAAAAAACTTAAAAAAAAAAATATATATATATAAGCAGTTTGACAAGCTAATAGTGCTTATTGAAGTGGATGTGTGGTTTCATAGCAAACAAATTGACCATATTGTTTTTTCATCTAGATTCATTTACAATTTGGGTGAAGTAAGGAATGAATTTGGCTATATGTTGTAGCAAGACTATTGATATATGCTAATCCCCAATTTATTTCAAATGTTATAAAGCTTTTTTGAATTGAGCTGTTAATGGATCAAGAAGCTATGAATATTTCTGGTGGAAAATTGCAAAGACTTGCATTAGATTTTTGCTTAGGCAAGGTAAACCTTTTTTATTGACGCATGTGGATTGCATTTAACTATTTTTTTTCCCTTTTGGACAGAGTTAGCTCTCTAGATATCACATGGATGGTCCCATCTAATATCAGCCTAGGACTAACAAGTTGTCCACTGAGGACTGGGAGCATAAATCTGTACGAATGAACGAACTTATTTACTTAGATGATTAATTTTGTTCAAAGACAGGTTTGCTCATCTACACTAGCAATATTAGATTTGTCATCCAATTTATTCTGTTTTGAAATATATTTTTTTGCTCGTCTTAAATTTTTGGAAACTCAAGTTTTGGGGCTAGGATGAGAGTCACTATCAATAAAGCAACTAAACATCTTAGTTCTCATTTCCAGGAGTATCTTTCTGAATTTAGGGATTCCTTATTGTTGTTTAATTAAGTTAAACACTATTATTATTCATGAAGTATCTTACTAAAGAGTGGTTAGGACATATATAGTCTGGTGGAGACTAATTGATGAAAATAGGCATTTATGATACCATGTGAGACCCTCAATTTATGAGGTGAAACCTTAGAATTCCACTCAGCTCTGGACTCCAGTGATATGTATAAAGGTATTCTGATTACTTATAGCATCATATGGCATTTGAAATGGAAGACAGTACAGTACAGTTATTCTGCTGCTGCCTGCCTGCCTCTGCTGCTGCTGCTGCCTGCCTCCTGCTGCTGCTACCTGCCTGCTGCTGCCTGCCTGCCTGCCTGCCTGCTGCTGCTGTGTGCTGCGTTGTGTGATGTTGTGTCGTGTTGTTGTGTTGTTGTGCGTTGTGTTTTGTTGTGTGTTCGTGTTGTTGTGCGTCATTTAATTTCCCCAATTGGTGTTGTTATTGTTGTTGTTACGTTGTTGGTGTTGTGGCTTATGCATTACTTGTTTTAGCTTTTGTTTGGCTTATATGCATTATATTATTTGTTACTTGTCCCTAATGTTGAATTATATACATTACTTGTCCTGATATATTATTATTATTATTATTATTTTTACATGTAGGTCCTTGATGACGATGAGCTACCCCGGGATGAATGAAGTACGGACTAATGTTGATTTTATGTATCTATTGCAAGTACTAATTTTATTTCAAACGATTGTTAATTAATTAGTGAACTTTCATTTATAATTAGTTAGTATCGACACTTCGTCTATTTTGTAATGCAATGAATATATTATATACACTTCGTTTATTTTTAATTATAAATATACTAATATAATTTATATTATTATATATTATACCTTTTAGATTTAAACTAATTAATTATATATAATATATATATATTGGTATAATATATAATTATATATTCCAAAAAAAATATTAAGAAAATTACCTAATACAACGATTTTCAAAAAAAAAAAAAAAAAAAAAAAGGTCTAATACAACGGATTAAAAAAAAAAAAAAAAAGATTTAATCCGTTGGATTAGGTCCAATTATTCCCAAAAACAAAAAAAGGGAACCTAATACAACGGATTGCTCAATCCGTTGGATTAGGTCACTTTTGCCGTTGTATTAGACCTAATCCAACCCCACCAAATCTGACGGTTGCTAGCCGTTGTATTAGGTCTAATACAACAGTTTTTGACACCTAATACAACGGAAAAAGCCGTTGTATTAGCTCTTAAATGTAGTAGTGCGTATCGCCATTAGTCAACAGGGCTCCAATCCCCCGTTGACACGTGTCCTTGGAACCCTACATGGGGGACTTGTCTGTCCCACTATAAATAGTGGGACAAACCTCATTAATAGGACATTAAAAAATACAAACACTATTACCGAGAAATATTAATTGCGGAATTCTCCCAATCAGCGAGAAGAACTTCACCTTTTCCGTACTTTTTCCTCTTGTACGTATACTAACTTGATCGTCGGAGGCGGAGCTCCTACCAATCGGAGTCTTCGTGATCTTGCAGGTACAGGCATCGGCAGCTCAGTCTTGGAATCGTAACTCTCCCGCAGGACACCTCAGAAAACCCCGAAACAATTATTGCAAAAATAATTGTGCCTCTTCTCTTTTCCACTTCTACACACTTCCTAAATCTTTGCATTTTCTCTCTCCAAAAAATCCTCAAAGTGATTCAATCTTTTTGAATTCTTCTAGCACTTCGAGCTTTTTCAACTAATTCCAGCCAATTTCACCAGGTAACTCTTGTACTTCGACTTAATTTCTTTTCAATTTGTTGCTTGCGTATGTCTGGTAAGCCGAATTTGCCTCAGCGAACTAGGTTTTCGTTTAGGGTTTTGGAAAGAGGGGAGAGTAAAGTTGTTGGCGATATGGCGGACAATATAATGATGATCACCAAGTGACCTTGCAGAGGAAGATGTGGCGTCCTTTGTCGCTTTGGTAGGGATGCCGGAATGTGCACATCGTATTGTACGAGTACCCTTTTAGGTTGGGGTACACCTTTCAATTTGGTCCCTGCCGCGATCTTTGATGGGAGTCTTGGACCTAAGTCTAGGGCAAGTGATGCCTCAATTTTAGACGATAGCTCACGTCATCGAAAAAGTGACCAAAGATTGGAAGGAGCCATACGACCTGTCAGATTTAATTTACGCTTATAAATTGCAAATTACTAAGAAGAATAGGTGTACCTTGATACTAAAGAGAGGACACCTTGCTCTGGTGGAGAAAGCTGGGAAGGTGAATGATCGCAGTTGGAAGCGCGTTATTTGTTTGTTGACAAGGAGTCTTTAGGGGAAGACGCGTGCTGGATTCGTTGTGGTTTGCTTTGTTGACATGTGTTCTTATGGCTTGCTTTGTTGCAGAAATTGACGTCGCCGTCGTGACTCCTGGGAGGAAAAGTTTGCGCAAAGTGGAGGTTGTGCTAAGCATTGCTAAGGAATATTGAACATTTGTGCGCCCCGTCGCAGTTGAAGAGGTTGAGGAAGAAGAAGGCGGTGAACAAGAGATGGCGTCTGGTAAGTTGGTTGTGCTTCACTTGTTTTATTTTTTATTTTGTTGCTTCTTGTTTTGACGTGCGTTGTTCTTTTAGAGGCACAATCTGGGAAGACCAAGAGAACTGCGATGTCTTTCAATGAGATGGTGGAACACGCAACGAAGAAGAAGAAACAAACTGTTTATGATTAGTCGGACATCAAGGTTTTGGACGTCAAGCCTCTCCAGATACGTACCTCTCCTCGTGCTAAGGAGATACCACCCAAGGCACCTAAGGATTCTGATTACATGGTACGCGTACCAGCTAATTTCCTCTCAGGTACATCTATGTCGTCCTCCCTTTGGCCTTCTGCTGAGAAGTTGTTGTTTCCTGGTGCTGAAAAACGTTTAGAGAAAATGACGCCATCTAGTATCATTAGTGAAGCGGTGTCGCTTCAGCTCAATGTAATTTCCCATTTAGCCTTTGCTCTTTCTTCTTGTATGACGTCATGTCGTGCGACCTCTAACTATCTCTTGTACAGGCTTTGCAGGATCTAGTGGCGGTGCGAGGTCACTTCATTTCTGGGGAGAAGGAAATGAACTATCTTCGTGCTACTGTTAGCACTATCAACTGCTGAGGGGGAGGCGACCAAGTTAAAGAAGGCTTTAGGAGAGAAGTTGAAGCAGATTTCTGAGTTGAATGCTTTATTAGAAGAGAAGGGCAAGCAGGTATCTGAGCTGGAGGCATCCATAGCTGAAGTTTGTGAGGATACGCAAAACTCCAAGTGCCTTGACCAACTGACTGCTCGTGCCAAATTGCTGAAGCGTTTCCTCGACGGTTGTCTGATCACTAAAGATGCTTAGAAGGAGGTGGATGTTTTCCTGGTGTCTTTGGGTACTGCGACGAATCTGGCTTCAGATATTAAGGCTCCTAGTGAGGATGACCGTTCTACTGCGGACTCATTGGAAAAGGTTGATGATGCAGCTTTCGGTGCAAAGACCATCGAGGCTACTACAGAAGTTGATGCCCCTGCAGATGTTAGGCTCCATGCTGGTGATACTTCTGCAAATATTGGCGTCAATGCTGATGATGCTTGACTTTTGTTGTCTCTGCCTTTTGTCGTACTGTTGAACTTTCTGCTGCCTTGAACTATTTCTATTTTTGCGTACTCTTTACTGGTCGTCATGGGACGATCAGGTTCATTTCCTGCTTTTTAAGTACTTTGAACAATCTTCTAGCGCTGTATTTTTACTAGCTGTCGTGGAACAGTCAGTCTTTTTTGCAAACTTTGTGAATCCTGCAAAAACTTTGTGCTATGCATAAAAAATGTCGTGTGTTTTATTACTTTGAATATCATGCGTACAACCTTTGTGAAAAGAATACAAAATTTAAACGAACTTAGGAAGTTTTTCTAAGTGCGAATTTCATGAATTTCGCTATGCTTTCAACTGCTACACTTAGTAACTTTGATACTTAGGCAAAAACTTGAAAACACTTTAGTACGTATGTAATACGTGGGTGGGTGTTGCCCCCAATATCTGATGTCGTACGTCAATTGGCCAAGAGTTGATGTCGATAGTAAGATATTCTTTTTCCATGGCAGTAAGTTATCTCTGGTCGCGACTGACGTTCTATCGTGTCTCGTCCAAATCTGGCGTTTGAAGCCCTTGCGTTTTCTGCAAAGCAAGCGTTAGGACTTGGTTGTTGGCGTTTTTGCCAACGGACCTCCGATGCCTAAGTCAGTACCCGTTGTCCAAAATGTAAAATTAAAAAATAACTTTAAGACTTAAGATCGGGCGTTGTACCTTAGGTCTTTACCAAAAAATGGTAAAGTTTAAGATGCGTCGCGTTCCAGCTTCGAGGAACGATCTTACCTTCTTTGGACATAAGTCTGTATGCCTCTTTACCAGCGACGTCGAGGATCTGGTAGGGTCCTTCCCACGTCGGACCTAATTTGTCGTTTGTCGGATCTTTGGTGTTTTGGAAGACTTTTCTTAACACCCAATCTTCTACTTTGAATACTTTGGCTTTAACGTTCTTGTTAAAAGTTCGTGCAACAATTTATTGTTGCGCTACCATTCTGACGTACGCTGCTTCCCTTAGCTCTTTAGATGTGTCATGGTCGGCCGACAGTTCTATGTTGTTTTGATCTGTCGTCATGAGACCGTATCTTGCTGTTCGGATGCGTACTTCAGATGGTAAGACTGATTCACACCTATATACAAGGGAGAACGGGGTTTGTCTAATCGACGTCCTAGGGGTTGTCCTGTTCGCCCATAGGACCAACGAGAGTTCTTCAGCCCACTTTCCTTTGGCTGACTTGAGTCGCTTCTTTAAGGATTGGATGATGTTTTATTGCTCGACTCGACTTGACCATTGGCTTGAGGGTATCTTGGTGTGGACATGCAAAGTTTGATATTCCATTTCTCGCAAAGTCGTCTTGTTTGTCACTTATGAATTGTGATTCGTTGTCACAAACGATCTCGGAGGGGATTCCAAACCTGCAAATTATGTTATTCATAAAAATGAAATGAATTCTCTGTCGCGTACCTAAGTGAACGAGTCAACCTTGATCCACTTTGAAAAGTAGTCCGTTAGTGCGAGCATGAAGATCTTTTGCCCAGGGGCTGTTGGTAGCTTTCCTACTATGTCCATCCCCGATTTCATGAAGGGCCATGGAACAGCGTAGGGTACAACATCTCAGGTGGCTTATGCGTCAATCCTGCATAACGCTGGCAGCTTTCGCACTTCGCAACGTAAGCTTCCGCGTCTTTCTTTATGGTTGGCCAAAAGTAGCCGATTCGTAGAAGCTTGTTTGCCAAGCTGCGGCCTCTAGAATGGTTCCCGCATTCCCCATCGTGGCGTTCCTGTAAGACTTTTTGTCGCTCGTCGCCGACAAGGCATCTCTGCAAAAAACACCTGTGGAAAACACTTTGAATAGCACGTCATGTAATATGGTGTATCTAGATGCTTTATACCTGAGTTTTCTTGCTTCGAGAGGATTGTCTGGCAAGACGTCGTCTTTCAAGTATTTGATTATTGGCATCGTCCAATTGGGAGTAGCGTCTATCGTCATGACGTTAGGAATTTGGGATGTGTCAACTGACGGCTTTTGCAGGTGGACCAAAGGAATGGTGCTGAAGGGCGAATTTCTGAGTGTCGAGCCTAGGTTGGCTAGGGCGTCAGCTTGAGTGTTCTTGTCTCTTGGGACTTGTTTGATCGTGAATGGGTTGTACTGCTTTGCTTTCCTCTTGGCAATCTCCAAGTAGGCCATCATTTTTTAGTCTTTAACTGTGAATTCTCCATTTAATTGACTAATGATGAGCAGAGAGTCACTATAGACGTTCAAACCAATTTCTTTTAAGTCTGACGCGACGGTCTGCCTGCAATTAGTGATTTTTATTCTGCTTCATTGTTGGTTGCCTTGAAGTCGCAGCAAATGGATTGTACGATCATGTCCCCTTATGGCGATTTTAGCACAACGCCTGACCCGACGCCTCTCTGGTTCGACGAGCCATCACAGAACATCGTCCAAATTGCTTCTTGGCATGCACTATTTATTTCCTCTAACTCTTGGGTGGCTAATGGCTCCAAATCCGAGCTGAAATCTGCCACAAAGTCTGCTAGTGCCTGGGACTTTATTGCCATCCTATGCAAGTACTTGATGTCGTACCCGCTTAGGGCGACACTCCACTTGCCCATTCTACCTGTTAACTCTGGTTTACGCAAGACAGGCTTGATAGGAAAGTTACTTCGTACCACCACTAGGTGGGTTTCAAAATAATGACGTAACTTTTTAACTGCTGTAACCAAAGCAAGTACTAATTTTTCAAGGGAAGAATACCTGGTCTCTACGTCAAGCAAAGACTTACTGACGTATAGACGGGCAACTGATGGTTGTCGTCCTCCCTTGGAAGAACTGCACTAACTGATGTCGTGTTTACTGGTAGGTATAGTTGCAACGTCTCATGTTCTTTTGGTTTGAAAAGAAGTGGCGGTGATGCCATGTACTGCTTCAAGTCCAAAAGAGCTTTCTCATGTTTCTCCGTCCATTCAAACCCTTTGTTTTTTCTCAGGACGTTGTAAAAGGTGACATTTGTCGGACGACTTGGATATGAATCTGTTTAGTGTTGCGACGCGTCCTGTCACCTTTTGGGTTTCCTTGACGTTCCTTGGGGATTAACTATTGATTGTGGTTTTGATTTGATCAGGAGTTGCTTCGATACCTCGCTGGGTCACGATGTACCCTAGAAATTTTCCTACAGAGACTCCAAAAGAACATTTAGCAGGGTTTAGTTTCATACCATATTGTCTTAGGACGTCGAAGGACTGCTTGAGGTGTCCGATGTGATCAACGGCTTTCTTTGATTTGACCAGCATGTCATCGATGTACACCTCTATCGTATCTCCTAGTTGATCTTTGAACATTTTATTGACGAGTCTTTGGTACGTCGCTTCTGCGTTCTTCAAGCCAAAAGGCATGACTTTATAACAGTATATTCCTTTGTCCGTCATGAAGGCTGTCATCTCTTGATCTTCCAGGTGCATCAATATTTGGTTGTACCCTGAATATGCGTCCATGAAGGTGAGCAGTTCGTGCCCATCAGTTGCGTCGACCATTGTGTCGATATGAGGCAGGGGGAATGGATCTTTTGGGCATGCTTTGTTCAAGTTGGTGAAGTCTATGCACACTCTCCATTTTTCATTCTTTTTGCTAACCACCACGACGTTTGCTAGCCAGTCGGTGTACTTAACTTCTCTTATTTTTCCTGTTTCGATCAGCTTTTTTACTTCGTCATGATCACTGGATTTCTTTCATGTGCGAACTTTCGTCGCTTTTGCTTGATTGGTCGATGGTTGGGGTCATTGTTTAGCTTGTGAGTGATTACGTCAGGGCTAATACCTGCCATATCTTCATGCGACCAAGCAAAGCAATCTGCATTAGCTTTAAGAAATTCAATGAGTTCAAACCTTATACCTGGGTCGAGCGACACCCTAATTCGGACGGGTTGCTGGGATCCAGCGCCACTTCGTCTATTGCTTGTTCGTCAGGCTCCTCTGACGCTGATCCTTGCTGTAATTGCTATACCGTCCTCTTGGACGGCTTCAAGGTAGAACTGTAGCATTTTCTAGCTTCTTTCCTTTCTCCTTTGATTTCTTACATACCCCACTTGGCTGGAAAGATTGTCTGATGGTACGTTGAGGGGACGGCTTTCATCCTATGGATCCAAGGTCGACCAATGATGGCATTATAGGCCGACGGGCAATCCACGACGTTGAAGCGCGTTGACAGGTTGACACCTTGAGCATATGTAGGCAGCACGATCTCTCCACTTATATTGAGGGCTTCTCCGCTGAAACCTACAGAACGGTTGACTTTCTAACGTCGTCTCTGGTGTCGATTCCCATGTCTTTTAAGGTACTTTTGAAGAGAACATTGGCTGAGCTTCCTCCGTTGACTAACACTCTTCGCAGGAGGCAATTGCCAATGGTGAGGGATATCACTAATAAACCATGATGCTCTTCTTGGTAGTCTCCCAAGTGGCAATCGTCGAAGGAGATCACCAATGCTTCCAGAGCTTTGTCTTGATTTAATCTTGCGTCTTTTGGAACAGCTTCCTCGGGGTTACCTATTCTTGCTATTTTTTTTGCTGCAGAGTACGTTAGTCCACAAATATCGGATCCACAAGAGTTAACATTAACTACTTTAGAGATTGTCTAGGCCTTAGGAGGCTGCTGGGACGTCATCTCTTTGTCGCTTGACTTACCTTTTCCCATTAGCTCCTTTAGATGACCTTTTCTTTAAGAGGAAGGTTATTTCTTTCCTTAAGGCGTTGCAATCTTCAGTACAATGGCCATGGTCGCTATGCTAGTCGCACCACTTGGATTTGTCTTTACTTTCATTTGGCCTCTTGCTCTTCCTGGGCCAACGGGCGAAGGCGCCTAAGGAATGCAAGGCATTCACAACGCCCCCGATGTCGACGCAGAATCCGTACTCAATAATCTCGGGGTATGCGTTGGCATCTTGCTTTTGAGACCTGTCAACAGAGCTTTGTGCATTGTTAGCTTTATCGACATTATTGACATTGTTTACCTAAGCTAGCCTGTCATAGGGTTTACGACGTTAGTTCTTCTTGTCGTTGGACCTTCTGTCGATCCTTTCGTTGCTAGCGGCAGTTGCAAGCTTGATGCCTTTTCTGATAGCGATGTCGTCTTCCATTCGCATCTGGGCTAGGGCGCGAGTCCTGACTTCTTCAAAGGTCGTGCAAGGGTATTTGGTCAGCTCTTTGTATAGCTTCGAATCTAGCGACAATCCTCTCTTAAAGGCTTCTATGGCTGTTCAGACGTCATATCCTTTGATGCCAATCATTTGCTTGTTGAACTTGCTGAAGTACGATTTGATGGACTCCCCATTTGTCTAGACGATGCGGTACAGGTTGCTCGTTTGCTTTTCACTTTGCAACTGTTGTTGAACTTGTTGTAAATGTTACACAAAGTTTAAAAATTAGTAATGGAGCCTCGTTTGATATCACACATCCATTCAAGGGCAGGCCCTGTAAGGGTAGCTCCAAAAGATTTGCAGAGGACTGGCTCGAGCAGGTTGCGGGGGATGGAATACTACCATATCCTTAATTTGCTTATAATGATTGACATGCTCCAACGGGCAGGTGCTTCCATCATAAAGCATCGCTGGAGGGGGAATGTTGAGCCTTCTGGGGATGTCAGCCATCGTTATCTCTTCCACGAAGGGCGACGCAGCGAAGCCATCAGGTTCTTCCATCACGATTAGAACTGGCGCAATGGCAGCCTCTTTAGCAGGCGGAGCAACTTGGCGTTCTGGGCCTCGATCTTGTTCAACCTCTGAGCTGTCGGATCTGCCTTGTCGTCATCCTCTTGATTGGTGCGCTCCGCAATATTTTCTTCGTCTTCCTCATCAGCACTTGATTCTTCTTCGAAGTCCAGGTTCATCATGATGGGGATGTCGTTGGTATTGCGACGCCGACCTGGCACGTTGCTGCGGACGAAGTCCAACTCTTTCCTGAGGGTATCTACGCTCTTCTGGCTCTCATAAGCGAGACGTGCGTTCTCCGCCTTCTGCTGCACGAGCTCTTCTTTAGTCTTGCGAACTTCCTGCATGAGCTGCTCGAGGGTCATGTTTTCTTCTGAAGAAACCATGAAGGCTGGACCAGTGGTCAAAGGGCGAGGTTTTTGGAATTGAACGAAAATCTAGTCGCCGGCCCCACGGTGGGCGCCAAATTGTTTTTGCCAAATTTCGCCTAAAGGCGACATAAGGCTAGGACGTTCAATGGCTAGAGGATTAACTATAGAAAACGAATAAAACTAAGGTTAAAGCAAGTAAAGGACAAGGTATTTTGATGACGCAGAAAACCCAAATGTGGGAAAAACTGCAAGTGGGTGCAAGACCACAGTTTCACTATGAATTACTTTGAATGCAATGAGTATGAAAGCTTAGAATTGAGGGTAGAGTGCGTATGAACTGTGTCCTTGCTTAGTACAATTATTATGCTATTTATAATGCTAATCATGAGCGTTTAAACCCTAGCTTAAGTGTCATTGGAAGCTTGTATCCGTTCCCCTAAGAAATAGGGAATCGGTTGTTGACGAAGTCTTGGGACTTATTTTCGACTTCTGGACTTATCTGGTTGAGGTTGAGGTTTGAATCACTTTTACTGAGCAAACTGCTGGGAAATAGCTATAGTGCCATCATGGACCTTTATCACTTCCTTATCTTTCGCTGAGTCAATTACAGGGTCGTCAGTCGCCTTTCGTTGTCGTGCAACGTATCGAGTGTCAGGTCGTGCCTTAATTTTGACCATAGCACATTATTCGTCAAATCCACAACAATTTAAATATACACTACAATATAATCTGGATCCCTGCTAGACATCCCCCCACCCCCTATCTCCAAAAAAAAAAAAAAAAAAGAGCGGAGTGAACAAAACAACATTTCGAAGAGGACAAAGAAATGTTTCAAGTACTAGCTAAATGGGCACCGGTTGACCGGCTGTAGCATTGTATATGAAGCATGCAGCATGCTGTGTACCAGTTTGTATACTGTTCCAGCTGAAAGAGTCCTGCTGCGAGCCTGCAAAATTGATCAGTGAGTTTGCTGCTGAAATAAATTGAAATGTTGCAAGGAAATGGAAGGTTATCATAAAAAGAATGGTCGAGAAACGTTCATTTACAGCATCTTTGAGCTTACACTTTCCCTCGAAAAGAAGAGTGGCAGTAAATAATTGGTCAAGTCAATCTAAGTTGATAGATCAAATGTTAATTAATTTGGTCTCCAAAAGTAAGGAGCTTAAGCATAAGAATGTCTTGACTAACAAAAATCGGACCAAATAATTAAAGCTCTAGTTCTCACCATAGAGTATTAAAAAGGTTACCTATGTTATTCTATATGAGGTTATGAGCATTGAATAGAATCATTATCGAAATCTGACTGCAAATATACTTATAGATGTCCTATAATTCACACGCACAAAATGTCAATGTATTGCAAACATGTTAACATGACAGTTCATATGGACAGTACAAGTGTACAACGCAGAAATATAGACTACTCTTTTGATAATCTAATGACATTAAATTTATTAACATTCCCCTAGTATATAAATAATTTACCTTCAGTTTAGAAAGCATGGCATGTAAAACAACCACTGAGGGAACCCATCAGACGAGTCCGGAAAGATACTGCATTATTGCTCGTTTTAGACACCTGAAGCGTCTGACTGGTTGGTATTGTGCTCCTCATGTTCTGAGCTTTCTTCTGAGCAGATTTCAACTTCTTCATAATCTTATCCATTGATGATGACCTCTTCTTTTCCAGCTTCATCTGCATCGTGCCATTCAGCCAGCATAAGTCTATTAATGTCGTGATATGAATCTGCCTACAAATGGAGAAGCACTACTGGAAGAACCAATATGAGAACTATAGGGTCAGCCTGCATCTGTAAACTGTTTGCAATCATTTCCCTTGACGATGACACAAAGAAAGGATTAGCCAGAACTGGTAGAGGAGAAGTGTATGATTCAGGAACTTTCAATTCATTGTAACAATTTCCACTTGATGTCTGCATTGGTAAAGCAGAATGCATATTCATCTCCATCCATAAATCAATAAAACCAGCTCCAGAGGTATTCAGTTAATCAACTATCTCCAAAGAACTGATTCTACAATTCCAAATGAGCAGATCAACTAACTCTCATTGATAACTCAACTGCCAACACACATATCATTAAGTTTCATAATCTGCAGAAAAAGAAAAAGAAAAAACAGCAGATAAGTTTTAATTAATACTAACTAAGTCTGTATATATCAAGATGAAGTATTTACAAATAAAGTTCAACAAAATACATAAAATGGCTCATCAAATTGCCCATAGTTCTCATTCAATGCAAGCAGAAAATGTTTGTTTGGTGTGTCTGTGTGTTGATCTTTTTTGTTATTTTTTTTTAATGGGAAATTGCACAAACTAACCAGTCATCACAATATTCAACATGACTCCTCTCTATCATTAGCTTTGTTTATAGAGCTCTCTTTCTAACTAAATAGCTTATTATTTAAGACGACGGCTCATGATGTAACTACTTAAATGGCCCCCCCACCCCTATCGTCAATTCATATCATTAAAATGCCTTCCCTGGCTCCCCCTATTGCTATTACATAACAAATGGTCAGGACTCAGGAGGGAAAGAAAGAGATAAGATACCGGTTATAGTGAAAACTAATGAGCAAATAAGGGGAAATTAGCATATCTAGATTTCTTTGAAACTACCAATGACTTGATCCAGCAAGCTAGAAAAGAGCCCCCCATCAAAATTACCCCCCGCGTCATATTCTCAATTAAAACATGTTACCAAAAACCCAAGTTCATGATATTTCATTAATTCTCTCATGATTAAGCCTAAATTTAGTGTTTGTCAAATATTCAAGGTCAATACAATAACCCAACTATTATGGGTATATTTTTGTGGTAAAAATGTAATTCATTTTATTAAACATAGGCCACAAATCATTTACGCACTCGTAGGATTTTCCCTTCTCAAGGTAGGTCCAAAGAGCCACACTATAAAATTTATTGCTTCCGCACTCCCCCTCCCTCCAAAAATAATCAACCACACAATGATAGCTCTAATCACAAACCAAAGCACATAAATAGCCAAAAATGAGTTCAGTCTTCCAAATTTTCCAATAGCAACATTCAATACACAATTACGAAAATGAGTTCTTAGATTAAGACTTACAGACTCGGTAACACATTGCCAGCATGCTGAAAAAGTTCATAGAGACCCGAAACTGAAAGACCATGCCTGCTCTCATCCTTGAAGAACAATTCCAGCTTCCTCAACTCATCGAAAGCTTGCATATCTTCCAAAACATGATTAAAAATCAGAATGAATTATAAAAATCTGCAAAAAATTCATAAAACAATAAATTACAGAGTTTGAAATACTTGTGAGGAGAAAGTTAAGAGGTACGGAGCTCCCAAAGCATTTGAGTGGAGTACTTGGGAGCTCTCTAAGATTATCGGAATCCTAAAATTGAATTTACAATCAAAATTAAACAAAATTAAAAAGAAAAATTGAAACGCTTTGAATCTGATCCCGTAGAAAAGGGAAAATTCGAGGAAAATTACCACAACGCAAAGCATGAAGGCATTCTGTTGAACAGCGACGATTCCTTCTGCTGTAGTGAGGGAAGTGAGAGAGAATTATTGTGAGCACCAAGTTTTGTGTTTTAGTTCTATCTCTATCTTATTGTACACATACCCGATATTCATCGACGGTTCTTTGCCGAAACAATCTGATAGATATTATAGTTATGATAATATTTGTCGCAGATTAGGATATGTTTTGTATATATTCTGTATCCTTATCGTACTAGGATTACGAGTCTTGTAAAACTCTACATATATTGATCAATGGTACACACTCCAATTTGAGGAATTTTTCCGAAATCTAACATGATATCACAGCTTTAGGTTTCGATCTAGCTTCTGCAAATTATTTTTTGACTTTTAGCTATAATTAATTCTCATATTGATTGTAGCTTTGTCATATTATACTTTCTCTCACCGATTGCAAGCACTGACATTGTTACTTTAATTAGTTTTTTTTTTTTAATTGTTGACTTTAGTAAATTGCCTTCGGTATACTTTTTGGTAGTGCGTTGCAATTCAAAGCCGAGTTCTTCTAGCAAAGCCAGTAGCAGCGTTTCTCCATGGCAAAGGATGACGACCAGCCCACTCCACCACCACCTCCACCGTCGACGGAGTACCACCCGGCTCTCTCAATCAACAATATCAAGAATGCAATTCTGTTGATTCTTGATCGGGAAAAAGTTTAATATTCGAACTGGGTTGAACTCTTTGAGGTTCATTGTCATGCCTTTAATGTTCTTGACCACATTGATTCATCAATTCCTCGCCCCACTGATATCTCAACATCGCTATGGCTTAGGCTTGACTCCATTGTCTAAGCAATGGATTTATGGAACAATATCTGTGGACCTTCTTCAAACAATCCTTTGCAAGGGAGATTCGGCACATCAAAATTTGGAACAACTTGAGGGATATTTTTCAAGATACAATTTTGTTATCAATTTAATCTCTTTCATCTATCAAATTTCTCTGACATTAGTTCCTATTGCCAACAACTCAAGAATCTTAAGGACCAACTTGCCGCAGTTGATCAACTGGTTACGGAACAAAAGCTCGTGATCCGGCTCGTCTCTGGCCTCGTCAACACGGATTACGACAACGTAGCCACCATCATTCAACAAACAGAACCCCTCCCCTCTTTTGAAACAGCCCGGTCACGCCCGAGGAAACCCGTCGCTCCAACAATCAAGGCTCACAATCGGCTTCTTTCGTTGCCCAAAACTCCACCATTGCACCCACTAGTGCTGCTCCTACACCGGCCGCATCACCGTCGTCGCAGCAGCAGCGTCACAGTGCTGGAAGAGGTGGGGGGTGAGGTCGTGGTAAAGGAGGCAATGGCAAGGGGAAAGGCAGGGGTCGTGGGAGAGAGAATGGACAACAGCAGCAACAACAACAACAACAACAAAGTCCAAATCAGCCTATCCAATGGGCCAATCCATCCCCTTGGGCCCACCAACAACCTCAACAATGGGCAGTAGCTCCTTCTCCATACCCTCAACAAGCTCAATTTCAATATCGGCCCGCACCTCAGCAACAACGGGCTGCATATGTGGCCCAATATCCCCAACAACAATTTCAGGCTCCGTACCAGGCTTATCAAGCCCCTACCTATGGACCGCTCATGACTCCTACCGAGTTGGGGAACTCTTTTGCTACTATGTCTCTCTCGCAAGACAACTCATGGTACGTGGATTCCGGAGCAACTTCACACATGACCAACAATTCAGGTACTCTCATGCCCCTTTTTAGTTTGAGCACCAATAATCATATTTTAGTTGGTAATGGTAGTCGCATTCCGGTAACAGGTTACGGTCACACCACTTTTCCTAACTCCAAACCCCCCCAATCTTTGTGATGTTCTTTTAGCACCTCAATTCGTTAAAAACCTTATTTCTGTTCGTAAATTCACTTCTGATAACTCTGTGTCAATTGAATTTGATCCCTTTAGTTTTTCAATGAAGGATCTTCGTACGGGGAAGGTAATAACAAGATGCAATAGTTCGGGGGACCTATATCCTGTGACCACTAACACTAGTTCATCCACGTGTCTTGCTACCACACTCACTGCTGCCTCTACACCCTCTTCGCATGATCGCCTTGGGCACCCGAGAAATTCAGTTTTAAGCTTTCTTCGGTCTAGAAATCATATTTCATGTAATAAGGAGCATGATTTTACTTTTTGCAATTCTTGTCAATTAGGAAAACATGTGCGTTTGCCGTTTCATAATTTTAATAGTACTACTTCTACTACTTTTGAAATTATTCATGCCAATTTGTGGACTTCACCTATTCGTAGCTATCAAAGTCACAAATAATATTTAGTACTATTGGATGATTTTACTCATTTTGTGTGGACTATTCCATTAAAATTCAAATCACAAGCCTTTCAATCTTTTTTGAATTTTAGAGCTTATGTTGCCACTCAATTTGAACGGCCAATTAAATCCTTTCAAAGTGACCATGGTAGAGAATTTGATAATGATCCTTTTAAACTATTTTGTGTCACTAACAGCTTAGTTTTCCGTTTTTCTTGTCCACACACTTTATCTCAAAATGGGAAGGCCGAACGCATGATCCGAACCTTGAATAACATCTCTCGTACTCTTCTTATTCATGCTTTGATTCCTCCTTCCTATTGGGTAGGTTCTCTAGAAACGGCAACCTATCTTCTTAACATCATGCCTACCAAAGCTCTTGCCAATAGGACTCTCACTTATGCTTTGTTTCGTAAAACTCCGTCCTATGATCATTTACGAGTCTTTGGTTATCTTTGTTTTCCTAACCTATCAGCTACGGCCCCTCACAAGTTGGCCCCTAGATCCACTCCATGTGTTTTCTTAGGATATCCAACCAACCATAGAGGTTATAAGTGTCTTGACCTTTCCACGCATAAGATCATTATTTCCCGTCATGTCACATTTGATGAGACTCAATTTCTGTTTCATAATCTAAGTCAATTTAAAAAATATGACTACTCTTTTCTCGAGGATACGGAGCCAAGTCCTTTACTATCTCCATTATGGCGTCAAACGTAAGCCTGAACTCCCCACACAAATCAGTCCACACCGCCCTCACCAAACCAAATCAGTCCGCCACCTAGCAGCCCACTAACACACCCCACTTTTCCCTTGCGCACAAATCAACCCAACTCCACTAACCTTCCTGTTGGGCCCGCTTCGCCAAATCAGCCTACTTCCTCCAATTCTTTAAGTTCACCGATCCAACCCATTACTCCAACTACTTGCAATTCCTCATATACGCCCCCCCCATTAAGGGGCATCATGCCCATTCGGCCCACTCACCCCCCTAACACCTTTCCCTCGTGTGACTCGTAGTCAACACGGAATTTTTAAACCAAACCCCAAATGTCACCAAGCTAATATGACCATCCCTTCACATAATTCCCTAAGACATATAAAAATGCTCTTACTAAAGTGCGGCAATGCAAGATGAATTTGATGCTCTTATTAAAACAGGGACTTGGGAATTGGTACCTAGGCCTACGGGGGTGAACATTGTTAATAGTATGTGGTTATTTAAGCACAAGTACAAGTCTAATGGTGACCTTGAAAGGCACAAAGCTCGTCTTGTTTGTGATGGTAGGTCGCAAGAAGTTGGTTTAGATTGTGATGAGACTTTCAGTGCGGTAGTTAAACCGGCCACTATTCGTACTGTTTTCAGCTTAGCTTTGGCTAAAAAGTGGTTGATTCATCAATTAGATGTCAAAAATGCCTTTTTACATGGTGATTTGCAGGAAACGGTATATATGCATCAACCTCCGGGTTTTGTTGATCGGAGAGCACCCTCCTATGTATGTTGACTTCGTAAGGCTATATATGGGTTGAAGCAAGCTCCTCGAGCTTGGTACCAACGCTTTGCGAACTTTTTGGTCAGATTGGTTTTTGTCATTGCTAAAAGTGACACCTCTCTTTTTACTTTTCGACATGGTGATGATATGGCATATTTGCTTCTTTATGTTGATGATATTATATCAGCTACCTCTTCTGACAGGTTGCATATTTGCTTCTTTATGTTGACAACTTAGTGCAGATGCAGGACCACCTTTCCGAGACCCCACTCTGTATCGCAGTTTAGCAGTTCGGTATCTCACTTTCACCGGGCCAAATATTGCCTATGCGGTACAATAGGTATGTCTATTTATGCATGATCCCCGGGAATCTCATTATGATGCTTTGAAACGCATTCTGCGTTATATACAGGGTACCATTGATCATAAATTACATCTATATCCGTCTGCTTCTCATCGATTGATTACTTACACTGACGCTGACGGGGGAGGTTATCCCCATACCCGTTGTTCCAAATCGGGTTATTACTGCTTTCTCATCTAAGCATCAACATACTTTATCTAAATCGAGTATACTATCTACCTTTCTGGTAACCCGGTACAACACCAACGCACCAAGCATGTGGAGATGGACATTCATTTTGTTCGAGAAAAGGTTGCTTTGGTACAAGTTTGGGTTCTACATGTTCCTTCTAGTTATCAGTTTGCGGACATTTTCACAAAACGCCTACCACAAGACTTATTTTTGGATTTTAGATCCAATCTTAGCGTACGACCTCCTCCTGCTATGACTGCGGGGGTGTGATAGATATTATAATTATGATAATATTTGTCGCAGATTAGGATATGTTTTGTATATATTTTGTATCCTTATTGTACTAGGATTACGAGTCTTGTAAAACTCTATATGTATTGATCAATGGTACATACTCCAATTTGAGGAGTTTTCCCGAAATCTAACACAATCTATATAATTAAGTACCTCAATAATACTATATAGAGGAAAAGCAACAAAAGACCAAAAATTTCAACTTTCCAATCTAAGCCACCATCATTTATATCCAACACGTCACAAAAAACCAATAGTAGTCTTCCACTCGGAACACGATTCACAAACCAAATTTAACCAACAATCTGATAAACGAATAACTAAATGTATATAACTATAAGGCAAATACCTTGTATGCGACACTCTTTGAGGCAATTAAACACAATCCATTAAATATAAGACAAAATCCCAATTAAACACAATCCATCAAATACCAATAACACAACATGCATTCATTATAAATCCTTTTAAAAAACACATACAAAGTATAAATTAATAATGAGTTCAAAGAGGAATTTCATCGAATACTTGTATGCAACACTCTTTGAGGCAATTCCAGCTACACCCACCAACAATCTGAGCAGACCCATCTCTGATTACATATAAGGAACACATGGTATTATGGGTAATCTACTCATGCATTCTATTCATGGTATTATGGTATTATGGGTCATCTCTAATATGACGATGTATAGATCTCTAGCAGTAAATTTCCTCAATTTATTATGGGTAATCTATTCATGCAATATAATATGAATTTCTGATTTTATGATTGATTTCAATAGTAGTATTATTTTTTTCGATCTTAAATATCTCTTTTTTAAGCCAAGAAAAATAACCCAATTCATCCCACAAACCCAATTAATCTGACATTATAACCAAAATTACAGAAAAAGGCAATAAAAATTTACCTTAATTGAGTGAACAGAAGGCTAAGATTCTCCGAAGCTCTTCCGATCCACCCTTCCGATTTCAGCGCGTGCAACTACACCGTCGTCAACGAGGTTGTCGTCGAGTTTGAGGCGATTAAGGTATATTCTTTGTTTCATCTATTAAAAAAATATGGGTGAAATAAAAATTTGACCTTCAAACTGAAAGACGATGTACATAAGAAAGGACAAAATCTGACCTCAGAATCTGCTTCAATTCAATGGAGGAATAAGCTCAGAAGCCGCTTCAATGGAGAGTTCATCTCTGTCCAAAAATTACAATGAAAGACAATGGGTAAGTGAGAAAGCAGATGGTAAAAACAGAAAAAGGAAAGTGAGAAAGATTGGTTCAAAGGAGAGAGAAAGCATGTCATGCCTTAAAACAAGAAGGCTGTCTCACGTACGGGTGTACATAAACAGGACCGGACCTGAAAACCGACCTGAACCGGACCTGTTGGGACCGGACCTGATCCGGACCTGTAGATTCAGGTCCGGTCCCGGTCCTTGAAATTCAAGGTTTCCGGTTCCGGTCCGGATCAGGTCCAAAACCGGGGTTTTCAGGTCCGGACCTGAAACCCGGATTTTTTATATAATATATATATAAAAAAAATATAAAAGCCTAAAAAACCTAATACTTCAACTATTCAGCAACGCCTCTTCTCCTCTCACCTTTTCTCTTATCCTTTCTGATTCTCAGTATCCCCTCCTCCTCTCTAATTCTCAATCTCCCCTCTTCCTCTCTGATTCTCAATCTCACCCTTTCTTTCTGGTTCTCAACGACTCCTCTTCCTCTCCTCTTCTCTCTTCCTGGCTCCAGCATCGTGGGATTGGAGCACCGTCGTCCAACATCGAGGCCCCGTCGTCCACCATCTGCCGTCACCAGAGTTTGTTTATACTTTAGTTTTAGTTGAATATAGGTTAGTATGTAGATCTAGTTTTATTTTTCACATAATTTACGATTATAATTATCTTTTTTAATGAAATTGTAATGTAAAATTATAAATTTTGTAATTTAAGTTTGTAGATCTATTTTTTCGAAATTTCTGTTTTTTTTTTCTCGGATTTTCTGACAATTTATGTATAATTTGTTTTTTGCGATTTTTTTGTTCGTTTTTTTGTTTTTTGTTCGGATGTTGGATGTATGTGTGGAATCGATTTGGGTTTTTTTCTTTTTCTTTTGTTTTTCTGGGTTGTGGGTGCGGTGGATGCCTGACGGTGGTGGGTTTTTTTTTCAATTTTTTCGTTTTTCTGGGTTATGGGTGGGTATCAATGGGTCTGGGTTGTTGGGGTTATGGTGTCTGGGTTAAGGGGGTTAAGGTGGTTAAGGGGTGAGTTGGGGTAGGTGGTAGAAGGAAAGAAGCTTGTGGTGGTGGGCTGTGCGTAGGGGTGTATGTATTAGTGGTGGTGGGTTGTTCGTAGGAGGTTGTTGATGATAGTTTTTAGTCAAAACTTTGGCTTGAATAAAGAAAAAAAAAGGGAAAATACAAATTCAGGTCTGTTCAGGTCTAAACCCGGACCGAACCTGAATTTTCAGGTCTGACCCGAAACCGGACCTGTTGATTCAGGTCCGGTCTCCGGTCCTCAAAATTCTCTAATTCAGGTCTCCGGTCCAAACAGGTCCGGTCCAGGTCCGGTCCGGTTTTGGACCGGTGTACACCCCTAGTCTCACGCCTTAATTTCATCCCCTTTTGTTTTTTTTTATTATTTAAAAAAAAAAAAAAGTCAAAGCAAGTCAACAAACAACAATGGCAATTTCGCAAATACTATGAAGAGCTTAAGGTTTAACCGGCATAACACTATTCCTTTGAATAGTAACACATATTGTGGAATTTGAAAGGTAGGGATAATGCATACCTAACTACCTAAGGACTTCATCATTTTCCATGAATTTTTTTAATAGTAAGGAGAAGACTCATTCTAGAATGGGAAATATTAGGGAAATCCCTTCTAAAATGAGCTTGATTATATTCAACCCATGACATCACGTCTGAATGTCAGAGAATTAACCAACTACTTTAGCCTCTTGACTAAAAAAACAAAAACAAGTGTTAAATTACAAATCTTACCATTTTAACTATTCCTTTATAATTATCATCATTTTCCATGATGATGTGAGTGTGACATATTATAGTTAGATGTGTACAAGATTTTTCTTTGGGACGCAATGGTACTCTATGAGCTTCCCTCGTTATGATATGCCGGTGCACAAATAATCAAAATGGTGACATCTAACGGTTCTGAGCATCTCATGATCCGTACCACAATTTTCCGCATAGGAGGACGCGTGATAGATTTTTTCCGTCTAGTAATTATTTGCATTTTTTTAAATTCAAAAAAAAAAAAAAAAAAAAATTAAAGGAGAGCCCAACCCATTGAAAAAATCCGAAAATTTTACTTGCTCCTAAGACAGCTAATCTATGGACCAAGCCTTGTCCTCCACAAACTTAAGTGGGTCTAATTCGTCTAAACATTTATGAAAATTTCAATCCATTGACAAAAACGTATTACTTAAACTACTACGCATTTCACTTACTACTTGTACTTTTTATTCTTCACGCATATTTATTTATTTTGCTCATATAATCATATTATAAAAATCTTAAGTGTTACACATTGTTCGACACATAATTTTAGGTAATTTAATTGACTTATACAAAATAATAAGTGGAATAATTAGAGTATTAAAAAAATTATAAAAGAAATATAATGGGATTAATAGTTTATCGAAAAGTAATAAATATAAAAGAAAAGAAATAATATAAAAATAAATAATAAAAAAAAAAGTAGCAGTAGGTTTGAGTGGGGACCATGAGAGTTGAGAAATATTACATTAAAATTTACTCCCTTCGATTTTTTTTTTAAATGCATCACTTTCCTTTTATGGGTGTTTTTTTTTAAATGCATCACTTCCTTATTTGGTAACTTTATACTATATTTTATCATTTCTCCCTCTTACTTTAAACCCCACTTAAATTATTTTATCATTTCTCTCTCCTTTATAATCCCTACTTATATAATAAAAATATTTATTTTCCCTCACATTCCTTCTCTTTCATGATCCCCATCTAGCTTTTACTATAATAAAATGTTCACCCACTCACAATATTATATTACTCTCCTAAAACTCCGCGCATCACCAGGTGATGCAAATAAAAAAAAACGGAGGGAGTAGTTTTTTTGCCAAAAAAGGAACTGTAACACTTAAAATAACACAGCCGTATTTGACAAGTGTAACACTTAAAAAACATGGAAGAAGAATTCTTAATTTTAATAGTGAAGATTTCTAAAATTAGAAAGGCGATATTTATTTTAAATCGACAGTTTATGAAAAATGGGACATTTATTTTGAAAATGAGGCTACCTTGTCAAAATTCTAGATAAAACTTAAACATTTTGTAAAGAGTTTTTAAAATGAAAACTAGAACAAGGAACCACTCAATATAAGTTCCAGGGCAAGATAGCTTATTGTTATAATTTGTGCCTTAATTATTATTCTTTTTTTTTTCTTCTTAACTTTGGGTTAGATTGATTTATGATTTGTAGAGGTATAATAACCTGACCCAACCGATCCAATCTAAAATCAATTCAAAAAAAATTTGATTCAACTTTCGACTAGTATGGACACAATTATTTAAGGAAGGGTACTTTATTTGGGCTGCTAAGTAGAAGTAGAAATTATAGGCGAAGATTGAAATTTGAAATACACCCAATCCGATCCGATCTCATCGAATCTGAACCGGATACCCAAATTGAAACCTTTAATGATTTGAGTTTCACTGTTTTAGTAACAATTTTCTACGATTTTAGTTTCAAATTTTGGGTATCCGGTATTAGAATTGGTGTACAAGCTATCCAACAAGTTATTAAACTGATTAACCTGAGATTTTGACATGTATTCCGAACTTAATATTATTTTAATTTATATAATAATTAGTTATCTTAAGCTCTAGTAGGGGCCGAAACGCTCATTAGTAAGATCCTAAAAACAAATGTGACAAGGTAAATCACAAATAATATAAACAAAAGAAAGTACTTGTACCACGTTTATATATAAGTTTGAGTGATATAGTATTCTTTTTTTATTATTATTTTAGTGCAATGAGGGATACTGTATACGGATAACGAGGCAAGGGAGACCTCTTCGTGCAGTGACACAAGAGGTCGCCTCGCATCTTGAGGTGCGAGGTTCGATCCTCACCAGCGACAAATCCTACCCCCTACCCCTCTAGGGAATTGCCAGCTAGGTTTCCAGTGATAGGAGCCTTCAGCTGGGGCTGGTTGACCTTACCGAGTAAAAAAAATAAAAAGTTATGGATAACAAGGCATTTGTTTTCTTTCTAAAAAGATGCATATGACAAAATATATTGAAAAATATTATATTTATATATTAGGCCCTCCATATTCTTTTACAAAGTATTTATTTATTCTATAGAAATAAAATAGTAATCAATCAATAACAATATATCAATAACATAACATAATACTAAAATAGACACCGAAAATGACACATGTTACTCCGTGGTGTTGTTTTTTCCCTCCAAAAACCATTTTTCTAAAATAATTATTATTCTAACTTTATTTTTTTTTATATCTTTTTAATTGACAACTTATTTAAGACAATAATATTATATACCGAAACATATTTATTTATTTTTATATATTTTTTGAATAGTGAAGTATACTTAATTTATATATTATAATAGCAATTAAAGATTCTTATTACTAATATTAATATTATTTGCGTAAAATGATTTTTTTTTCCTAATCTATTACACTCAAATGGATTTAATTTATAGTATTAAATAATAAAAACATCTTTTACGTTATATTGTATCAAATTGACTTTAACACATAAATCTATAAATATAACTATATATTATATTAAACGTGAAACCAAGAATGACATGTGTAATTCATTATTTTTAAAAAATTTCCCGCCAAGATAATTTTTTTTCGTCAAAGCTTCTTAGAGAATATTTAATACTATGCAATTATATTTCCTTTCTATTTGATAATTATATACCATTTATACACATTCAGCAAAAATATTATTTTTCTACATTATATATAACTTTGTGACGTAATTTGTAATTATTTGTATTAGTCGTGCATGTAATACTGATGAGTGACATTTATGTTACCCTTAGGGGTAGTGTATTGGTCTCTTTTCTCCTGTTTTTCTTAGGTTTTCTACCTCTTTTCTCCTCTTATGGCTTCCTTTTCTTTTATGGATGAAAAGTATGCTTATTTGCGCTTGTTTTGATAATCTTTATGCATAATTTTATCATCCCCATGCTCTCGTGATCTTTGCTATCTTTTGCAGGTTCCATGACGGTCCTAAGCACGGTAGGAGGCCCCTTGGCCAAGTATGGAGGCATGGA